AAAGAGAAAAGGGGGCTAACTGCCTTTTATATAAGATTGTAATTTTATCATTTGATTAACTATTTATTTCTTTGTTAAAAGATAGAGCGTACATGTGGGTGAGAGGAAGCAAAGGTGATAGAAAATTATAAAATTATTAAGGAGTTCCTATAAAAATTTACCCAAAAACTTTAAGCAAATCTTTGATTGTTCAAAAAACTCAAAACTATACATGGGTTTTAAAGCCAAAAATTTCAATTGCTAAGGTTACTTTAACTACCTTATTTAGACTAAAATAACTTTTATTTTTTGAGACATCTATAAATTTTTTAGGTAATTATAAATTAATAGTCATTTTGACCGTAACTTAAATGATTCTAATTTTATTCGAGACAACTATTTTTTAATCGAGATACACTTGAGAAGCTTTGATAACGTTATTTTCAAGTACTTTATGAGAAAAGAAATTTTACAAGTTTTGTTCTAAGTAGATATAAAAACATTTTTGACAGTAATATTTCAAAAAGGATGTATGTGCGTCTTGATTATCAACTAATACACTAGCACAAATATGTGTATTATTAAACACACAAATATGGAAAAGAAAAAATGAGAAGTATTAACAGTAATTTCTTTTACACAAAATAAAATCTATTTTTTTTTATGTTTTTTTAATTATGGGAAAAAATGTTCGTAAATTGGAGCTATTGGTGTTCAAAAGATTTATTTGGGTTTTCTAGATGGAATAAATTATTTCTATCCTATTTTTATTTTTTCCCCCTTGACATGGAAATGAAAGATAAGAAAGAAAATATTACTTTTTTACATTCTTTGAGTAAAATAGCAAAATTATTTTATTCTCATTTATAATTATTATTTCGCACAATTATAAAATATCAATCACTATATAAAAGAGATCATCATTAATAAGTTACAGGAGTTGGGAATTTTGACATTACAAAGAAGTTATGAGTTTTATCAAGAACATCGTGGAATTAAAATATAGTCATTACCGTATTTGAGACACATTCGATTTTCCAAATCAATTAACATTCTCCTTTTCTCTCAGGAATAAATTAGATACACGGTTGTGCATCAAAAATATGTAATGGCTTAAGTGAGATAAAAGAGTTACGTCACTCTTACCACTAAGTTCATGCACTTCCATCTTGATTTTGTCTCTTCCTTTCAGGNATGTTTTTTTAATTATGGGAAAAAATGTTCGTAAATTGGAGCTATTGGTGTTCAAAAGATTTATTTGGGTTTTCTAGATGGAATAAATTATTTCTATCCTANTATGTTTTTTTAATTATGGGAAAAAATGTTCCTAAATTGGAGCTGTTGGTGTTCAAAAGATTTATTTGGGTTTTCTAGATGGAATAAATTATTTCTATCCTATTTTTATTTTTTCCCCCTTGACATGGAAATGAAAGATAAGAAAGAAAATATTACTTTTTTACATTCTTTGAGTAAAATAGCAAAATTATTTTATTCTCATTTATAATTATTATTTCGCACAATTATAAAATATCAATCACTATATAAAAGAGATCATCATTAATAAGTTACAGGAGTTGGGAATTTTGACATTACAAAGAAGTTATGAGTTTTATCAAGAACATCGTGGAATTAAAATATAGTCATTACCGTATTTGAGACACATTCGATTTTCCAAATCAATTAACATTCTCCTTTTCTCTCAGGAATAAATTAGATACACGGTTGTGCATGAAAAATATGTAATGGCTTAAGTGAGATAAAAGAGTTAAGTCACTCTTACCACTAAGTTCATGCACTTCCATCTTGATTTTGTCTCTTCCTTTCAGGATCTCCATCAAATTTTAAATTTCCATCTACATGGGACTTATCACATCTATCGTGCACCAATTAAGCCATTGTACTAATGTTTGTATCAATTGAAACCTCTAACATCACAACATGACTCAATATGGACCTTCATCCAATTTTGTTAAAATAAGTAACATAAAGTGGGTGCATGTGAATCACACATGACTTGAGTGAGGGGCATAGTTGAAAAATAAATCCCACTCTCTTGGTCAATCCATAGCTCCTTTCTCCCCCAGCTCCCCATGTGTTCTCTCGCTCCACAAGGCCCTCCTATCTCCATCCATGCCCCTCAAGCATCCCTTCAAGAACACTCATGTCCGTCTGTGGATGACAAGTAGAGATCAATGACGAAAAAAATGCATGTGCATGTTTGGATCTGTAGAGACTAATGGAGGAGGAAGAGACATGATTGCATGGAATGATGGATGGATGGATGGATCGGGCGGGGGTGGCTTGTGTTCTTGGGTTCAGGTTGGATAATTGATGCATTTCTAGATTGGTGTGACATGCCGTTCACTCTAGTCACATGTAATCAATGTGCATCNCGATGGATGGATGGATCGGGCGGGGGTGGCTTGTGTTCTTGGGTTCAGGTTGGATAATTGATGTATTTCTAGATTGGTGTGACATGCCGTTCACTCTAGTCACATGTAATCAATGTGCATCNAATTAACATTCTCCTTTTCTCTCAGGAATAAAATAGATACACGGTTGTGCATGAAAAATATGTAATGGCTTAAGTGAGATAAAAGAGTTAAGTCACTCTTACCACTAAGTTCATGCACTTCCATCTTGATTTTGTCTCTTCCTTTCAGGATCTCCATCAAATTTTAAATTTCCATCTACATGGGACTTATCACATCTATCGTGCACCAATTAAGCCATTGTACTAATGTTTGTATCAATTGAAACCTCTAACATCACAACATGACTCAATATGGACCTTCATCCAATTTTGTTAAAATAAGTAACATAAAGTGGGTGCATGTGAATCACACATGACTTGAGTGAGGGGCATAGTTGAAAAATAAATCCCACTCTCTTGGTCAATCCATAGCTCCTTTCTCCCCCAGCTCCCCATGTGTTCTCTCGCTCCACAAGGCCCTCCTATCTCCATCCATGCCCCTCAAGCATCCCTTCAAGAACACTCATGTCCGTCTGTGGATGACAAGTAGAGATCAATGACGAAAAAAATGCATGTGCATGTTTGGATCTGTAGAGACTAATGGAGGAGGAAGAGACATGATTGCATGGAATGATGGATGGATGGATGGATCGGGCGGGGGTGGCTTGTGTTCTTGGGTTCAGGTTGGATAATTGATGCATTTCTAGATTGGTGTGACATGCCGTTCACTCTAGTCACATGTAATCAATGTGCATCCCTTTCTGTCATCAATTTTTTTGGAATTGCACATGAAAATTGTTACAATTATTAAATAATTTTTTAAATTTTGTACATCAAATCACTATGGATAGTTAGATTAATACCGCCACTTGACTCCCATTAGACATTCAATACATATGATTTATTATTTGGCATACTAGATTTGATAAACACAAGACACACACTGAAGCAAATTGTAAAGTGAGTAGTTTAAGAACTTAATTATAACAGAAGCTATAATTCGGGGGATAAACATGTAATTTACTTTTTTTTTACTAGTAAAATTTGAAATTGCGAGAATCCGGATCGACAAAATCTCGACAACACCGTCTCAATTGCAAATACGAACCCAACNGGTACATCAAATCACTATGGATAGTTAGATTAATACCGCCAATTGACTCTCATTAGACATTCAATACATATGATTTATTATTTGGCATACTAGATTTGATAAACACAAGACACACTGAAGCAAATTGTAGAATGAGTAGTTTAAGAACTTAATTATAACAGAAGCTATAATTCGGGGGATAAACATGTTTTTTACTTTTTTTGACTAGTAAAATTTGAAATTGCGAATCCGGATCGACAAAATCTCGACAACACCGTCTCAATTGCAAATACGAACCCAACCACTTCGCGTTGGAACCTTCACTCGTCCCCCCACCACCCACCACCCACACCCACACCCAAAAACAACATGTTCGTTTAAAAAACTACTACTTGTAGTTTGTATAGCGTGTTGACCACTCCGACACCTCTCCACCGGAAAATTCTTTCCCTCCGTCTACACCCTTCCTTGATCCCCCGAATTTCTCTCTCTCTCTCTCTCTCTCTCTCCTCTTCTAAATTCTCCGTATCCCCTGTTTCTATCTCCCCAGATTGAGAAGTCACAATTTTATTTTACGCTTCCTCAATCTAGTCCTCGATGATGAAGCGAGGTATGCGATCTAACTATGCTTCAATTCTGCTGCGTATCAACCATTAACAACCGCAGCGAAACGAACCTTCAATAACTCCCAACAATGCCGCCACCAACACCACCAACAAGCACCCCAAAGTACAATACCAATCATCAAGATCCAAATCACAGCCAAAAAAACGCGACGGTGGCCGTCGCCGAAACGTTGTCACGGCCTCCGTCGATGAGAGAGGCGGCACAATTGATATGCGGTGGAGATCATAGAGAGGTGAAGATAAACGATATTGTAGGGAATGGAATATCGGGGATTTTGTATAAGTGGGTGAATTATGGCAAGGGTTGGAGGCCCAGGTGGTTTGTGTTGCAATATGGTGTACTTTCGTACTATAAGATACATGGCCCCGATAAGATTGTGGTCAGCCTAGAGACCGAGAAAGGGAGCAGAGTAATTGGTGAGGAGTCGTTGAAAAGGATTTCCAGATGTAAGAATGCGAGCTCCCAGGTCCGCCGTAAGCCTTTTGGTGAAGTTCATCTTAAGGTCTGACCAAAGTTATTTCTCTGCATGTATGTGTGTGCATAAACATATGAATTTATTTGGATTTTGTTAATGTGGTTTGATTTTGGCTTGCATTACTCATTAAGTTTGATCACTATATTTATCCGTATCAAAAGCTTGAATATCTCGCCTTTATCAATTTTTTGAGAGTCTATTTAGGTACCCATACCAAAAAAAATTATTATTTCCTCTGTTTTGGGATCATAATGATTTGGTTTATATTTTGATAAATAATTTTGAGTTCTTCTTTTTCCAATTAAAAGTGAAAAACATTTAGCGCCCTTGTTTAAATGCGATCTTAAGTTGGCCACATTGCAATTGTTTATTTACTTGATTTAGATTCATTTCAGGCTTTGTTTAAATGGTCTTTACATTTTTGGTGTTTGGTTTGCAATTGATATCTTTCTTCTTCCTTAAATTATGCATTTGAACAATTCGTTAGGAAAGTGAAATTTAATGTGTCATATATCCTAGGTTTCATCAATCCGTGAGAGTAGTTCCGATGATAAACGATTTTCAATTTTTACGGGAACTAGGAGGCTGCATTTAAGGGCTGACACCCGGGAAGATAGAATGGCATGGATGGATGCATTGCAGGCTGCCAAGGACATGTTCCCTAGAATGTCTAACAGTGAATTAATGGCTCCCTTGGACAATGTTGCTATGTCAACAGAAAATCTGCGGCAGCGATTGTTGGAAGAGGGTGTGAGTGAGGCAGCCATCCAGGGCAGCGAGCAGATCATGAGAAATGAGTTTGCAGCACTGCAGAATCAACTGATGCTGCTTAAGCAAAAACATTGGCTCCTTATTGACACGCTGCGTCATTTAGAGGTACATGTTACGATAAGCAGAAATCATTATGCTAATGGAATTGAAAATTCTTCTTCAGTGTCTTCTCCAATCTCCCCAAATTAACTGCTGTGCAGCTGGGGTTCGTTGGATGGTTGTAAAATTTCTGTTTTTTTCTTATTTAAGTCTCACATTCTTCTGTATAGCTTGTTGGATTGGGATGGGGTTTTCGGATCATTTCTGTATTCCTAACTTGTTTTCGAGAGTTATTGGATGAACCAAACTGCTGTGCAGCTGGGTTCGTTGGATGGTTGTAAAATTTCTGTTTTTTCTTATTTAAGTCTCGCATTCTTCTGTATAGCTTGTTGGATTGAGAGGGAGTTTTCAGATCACTTCTGTATTCCTAACTTGTTTTCAAGAGTTATTGGATGAACCAAAATGAGTGTCAATTGAAATAAAGGGAATTTGTGTAAAAGTGGGTTCATGTGATATTGCTGTGATCTGGTTTTATCTTCAAACTGACGCTTTTCCATGACATATATCTCTTTATTGGTGTGCCTTTTAATCAATTTCTTCATGCTCTTCATGTGGAGGTCTAATGTGCTTACAGTGGTTCTTCCTGGTTTTCATTTAGGCAGTTGATGTCTTGGGATTTTCTTCTGCAGTATCTCTAGTTCTGATAATGGCATTGTAGTGAAGCAAACACTTTAGATTCTTAAATTCTCATCTTGATATGTTTTTTTTCTTGATGTCATATGCCAATTTAGTGGTCATAAAGTTATAGCACATTCAAGACATCATATGTACTGGGTGAACTGCTTACTAAAGGTTTTCTTTTCTACTGTATGCATGCATCTGTGTGTTTCAGCTACATGATTCATTCGTATGCGAACATTGTTAAGCTTTGCAACTTGAGCTTGAATTTTTGCGTAGAGCAAGTGGTAGATAATGTGCAGTTTCGTATCTTCATATCTTAATAATGATGTCTTGGCCCCAAATCTAGAGTGGAAAATTTTTTAGAGTAGGAATTTTTATTAGATATCAGTTTTTAGTTGGTGTTGAGAAAAGTAAGATGTATCCAAAACTTTATTTCTGAATCTTGAGTTGTTGATTGTCTGGAAGGCCAGCAGAGAGAAGACTAAACAGCCTCTACCAAGCCTAAAGCAATTTTCTGTTTTCTAGACCTAAACCGTTGAAGACTGTGGTGGAACTGAAATTTTCTTTCTTGCTAGTTAGGTATAATTTCCTTTTTCATTTTTGGGGTTGGAAATGAATCAACACACCCTGTAAGTTTCCAAATGTTATCTATACTATGTATTATTACACTCAGTCTCTTGGGAGAAGGCTTGAGGAGTCTTCCCTCTCCAACTACTCAATTATTTTGATTTAGTTAGTTGAAAAAATATTTAATCCAATCAATTCATCACACTGGGACTTCAATAACTAACTTGGACTCTTACTACTCACACTCTCCTACATCTGTGGGCAACAACCAACAAATAGTTAAGTCATTGAGAAATATTAATAAATATTAATACTCTGTCCTCTATGTTACCTAAACCCCTTTTACCCTCTCAAAATTATGAGACTATTGGTAGTACGGGGAATTCTGTGTATCACACATGGCCGTGGCTAGTTTGTCTTATTCTTATTTGCAACAAGCTGAGGGTCAGAAAGGCAAAAAGACAAGGTTACCAATTCAAAAGTCCTATAAAAGTATGTTACATGGTGAAAGAAGTTTAAATTTGAAAATAAACACCTTTTGTTGACTATATTTGATCTTTAGGTTGGTTATAGAGTCAGCTGCAGTGCTGAAAAATGCAGCATTTTTTTTGAATACAGGGCTAGTTTCTCGTGAGCCAAAGTATAAGTTAAGCTAGGCGACTCGACTCTTTCCTGTGGCTAAGCTATTGCTTGTAGTTGTATAGTAGATTACCCTAATTATGGTACGAGCAAAGCAAGGGGTGAGCTAAAACTTGTAATTTTTATGACCTCTTCTCATGGATGGAACTAGTCATCTTGGTGAAGATGAAGTCACTGTTTGATGCTTTATGTATGCTGCATGTGGTTGCATTATTCTCTTTGCTTATTGTGTTGGTATATTTGAAGTTTATTATTCAATTTCGTTCCCATTGATTGAAAGGGTACAATCCTAATCTNCATGCTTTATGTATGCTGCATGTGGTTGCATTATTCTCTTTGCTTATTGTGTTGGTATAGTTTGAAGTTTATTATTCAATTTCGTTCCCATTGATTGAAAGGGTACAATCCTAATCTCTGACTTTATTTGCACAAATTGGTAGCTCTCATAATGAACTCAATGAGCCCACAACATCACCATTTCTACTATTGCTCTTGGTAATGAGAATAATGACCTTTTTGGGCTGATATAATATGAATATTTAATATTGTTGAGAGTACATGTCTGTAAATAGATGTGAATATCAACATCCATATTATGATAATATTAAGGGGTGGTTTTCAGTTGCCCTATGTTTACATTTATTGGCCCTCTACTACTTGTGGGCTATGAGGCACGGATAGTTCGTTGAGGTTGGCGTACCCGTATCGGATACTGTATCGCATACGATACTCGTCGGATACTCGAAGATACGTATCGAGTACACCTTCTACNATGTGGGCTATGAGGCACGGATAGTTCGTTGAGGTTGGCGTACCCATATCGGATACCGTATCGCATACGATACTCGTCGGATACTCGAAGATACGTATCGAGTACACCTTCTACGTATCTGATAATAATTAAATATGAGGATACTTCACGGATACTTTTGTGATCGAACAATATATATAATTTTTGAGTTGAATTTTGAACATCTCTTTTTGAATTCAGATACTATACAGTACATTAACAAAAATTCATATTACTTTAAAGGCACATGAGTGTTTCTTAAGTATTATCTATAATTACACGTCAAAAGAGTATAAAATAAAGCTATTACATTATAATTTTAGCAAAAATTACTTCTAAATACCAGGTAAANTGTCAAAAAGAGCATAAAATAAAGCTATTACATTATAATTTTAGCAAAAATTACTTCTAAATNCGTCAAAAGAGTATAAAATAAAGCTATTACATTATAATTTTAGCAAAAATTACTTCTAAATACCAGGTAAATATTAGTTTTGATTCTTTTAATTAGTCACTTCACTTTATGAATATACCATAGTGATATGATATATATTTTCTTGAAATTAAAAAGAATAAAGAACTACAAAAATATATAAGTATTAAGTTAGTTGAAAATAATAAAAATATTTATTATAGTCANATACCAGGTAAATATTAGCTTTGATTCTTTTAATTAGTCACTTCACTTTATGAATATACCATAGTGATATGATAGATATTTTCTTGAAATTAAAAAGAATAAAGAACTACAAAAATATATAAGTATTAAGTTAGTTGAAAATAATAAAAATATTTATTATAGTCATATCTTGGCTGTACCTGTATCCTACTTTTTTAGACCTGTCGTATCGTCGTATTCGTATTGTACTGTTTCGTATCCGTATCTCATATCTGTATTCGTGCTTCATAGCTTGTGGGAGACAAATCATTTAAGTTATTGAAATTAGAAACGTTGTCATTTCTCTTTCATCCATAAGGAGTTTCTGAAAAAAACATGATTATTTCTTTACAAAACACATAATCTTGTGTATCNTTGTACTGTTTCGTATCCGTATCTCATATCTGTATCCGTGCTTCATAGCTTGTGGGAGACAAATCATTTAAGTTATTGAAATTAGAAACGTTGTCATTTCTCTTTCATCCATTAGGAGTTTCTGAAAAAAACATGATTATTTCTTTACAAAACACATAATCTTGTGTATCTCTTCTGGAATATTTGTAAGCTGTTGAAGTGGATGCCCTCTATATGTGGATATGGTTTTCATTTTTCAAATATACCTCCAACGTAGTGTTCTCTTTGGTTACTAATGATCTACCTGTGCGTTATGAATTATGATTGCATTATTTGAGGCCTTAGTTCAGGTTATATTATGTCACACCTGTATTTTTATGTTTACTATTCTTAAGGGCCGGCTAATCTAGATAATCACAACATATTAAAATTTTTTATTTATGGGCACAAACAAAAATGGGATTCTTTTATCATTACCGACTTTGTTCACCAAATATTTAGAGAAATACTCACCATACAGCCAATAGTGAATGATTCTCTGAACAAATTTTCCAGGAGTTGAAAATCTAGATGTGTTAGGTATTATTTTTAGATTATTCTTTTCTTGAGTCTTCTCAAATAACTTTTTCATTGGTTTTACTTTGCTGGTCTACTGGGCCATGAGGCCTGTCATGTACCTTGGGGTTCTTGATAAATGAAGCATGTTGTTATGGATCAATTGTAGTAAAAGTAGTTGCTCATTGATAAATCAATTGCTATTATCTATTTGTTTTCTTATGCTTTTCCCGTGGTTCAGATCCTTAAACTAGTGATGTTGCCTATTATTTCGTCCATCTTGTCTCTGAAAATTTAGCATTTATTTATTCTGTGTGTCCTTGATCTAAATATTGCCGCCTTTATATGATTCAAAGTTTAATCTCAAATCATGTTTAAGAGGGCATGTTTTGGAATATTGAACATAAGAAATATCTGTTTTCAGTGTTGTGATTGAGCTGATCCTTTATTACCGGAAAATTGTTGTTTTGTTGAAACTTATGTGAAAGGTTTATTGTATGAGATCTGGAGAGAACTATGGTATTGTATCTTAGATGAACCCTTTTAATAGAGAATGGATGACAAGTTTTATCATCTGGTATCAGTACTATTGAGCCGATTATAATACCACCTGTGGAGGTGATATTATATTTCAATTCAAGCGTATTAAGTTATAAATTTATTATTTTACCCAACAGATAAACAAAAACATTAACAACTAAACAAGATTGATGATTTTTTAGTCAATACGTAATTGTTACTCTATTATTCCATTCTTAATCTAGTGTCTTACCAAACACTGGATTACAATGTGTAAAATTTTTGTTCATTATTTAATTTTTTATTTTATTCGCTTATATGGAATTAGCTTGTATTATCTAATACAAGCCATTCTTTTACAATACGGCAACCAAACATGCCCACGGTGTATTGGTTGATTATCTAACATATTTCTTCAATATCATTTGGGGAGAATTTTAACCGAAGACATTGAAACCCATGACATT